AAAAAAATGCAAACGTGGGGTTGGAGGGCTTATTTGCCACCTTTTTAATTCAGGGGCTTGTCATTTGCTATTGAAAAAGTTAAGGGGCTTAAGAAGGGGTTTTGCTTTTCAAGTTTCTTGTCGATTTCCTTGTTTCTTTCCAGACCGGTTAGGGTCTAGAAAATTCTATACAAACTTCTGGAAAATTTTGAAAATATAACTTCTTATTTTGGTTAATAACCGGTTTAATTTAGTTGAAATAGAGCTTGTGATTACTTAGAACGGGGTGTGCATATTGCATGTTTGTTGCTAACAGGGAGGAAGTCTAGTTTTTAAAGGAGACTCTGTTGAATTTTTAGGAATGCCTTATAAATTAATTGAAATTAAAGTGAGTTTTTTTATTAATATACAAATTATTGATCTTGATTAGTAACATATTTAATTTAGTTGAAATAGTGCTATTTATGATGATCTAGATGAAGTTGTCTATATTGTGCGTTAATTTGTTGTTAACATGGAGGAAGTTTAGTTTTTAAGGGAAACTTTGTTGAATTTTTAGGAATGCTCAATGAATTAATTGAAATTAATGTGAATTCTAATATTACTAAATATAAATTCTTGATCTTGACTAGTAATAGGTTTCATTTGATTGAAATAGCATAATATGTGATTATCTAAATCAGGTTGCATATATTGTGTGTTTATTGTTAATAAAGAGGAAGTCCAATTTTTAAAGGAGACTATAGAATTTTTAAGAATCTATTATGAATTAATCAAAATTAATATAAATTCTAAATTTTACTAAATACAAATTTTTTATTTGGTTACTGACAAATTTAATTTAATTGAATTATGGTATCTGTCTTATTAAAAAAAGTGTTATGTATTGTACATTTGTTTTTAATATTGTTGTAGCTAAAATTTGATAGAAGATTTTGTGGAATTTCTTGAAAATCAAAAAGGAAAATTATTATCATAATTTCCCTATTGTATTAAATGTACGTTACACATAGTGAAGAAGTAAAGTTTTTAAGAAAGGTACCCAAAATAAGACTATACAAAATTTAGGTGATAAATAGTGATCAAATCTAGAATTCCACCTCTTTAATATCTTTGTTTTCTTCATTTAAGTTGTATTGCATTCAAAAGTTTAAGCTGTTGCGATTCGACACAATGATAATGCATTGAGACATAGTTTGGTTCGTTAGGCTAGAAGGGGTGATTATGGTACTATTATTCGGACCGAAAATGGTCTGGAAAACTATTTCAGACCACTACTAGTCCCTATAGATCAAAACTTCCAAAACCTTCCCATCCTCTTTCACTTTTCCATTTTGCATTTAAGAAAATGAGTCATTTCCTATGACATGATTTTATTAATTAAAGTTTAATGTCTATTCCATAGGCCTGATGAGGTGTTCTAGTCCTATTATTCAAACTGTAATCCCTCTGAATAATTATTTCAGACCATCTTTGGTCCAATAAATTGATGCCTTTTGTCACGCCCCAGAACCTAAATCCGAGGACGTGGCAGACGCCGTGCACTCGGGAGACGGGTCCCATAAGTGCACTAGGCTCAGAACTTATTCAAATCACAACATCTCAAGAATAAAATCTAAAATTTCATATCCAATAGAATGACTAGCCTTCTACCTCGTCACTCCCCTTGGTTTCCCCGCCCTCGGTTTCGCTTCCTGAAATGGTGGACAAGGAAAACTATGAGATAACTGAGTAAGTAAATATGGATAGCCCTTGAGTAAAATTTTAGCATGCCTAATAAACAGCTTAACATATCAAAACATTCAATGATAAACCGTTAATGCAGAAGAAAATTCAGTTCAATAGCAAAGCGTTCAATGACAAACCGTTTATGCATAATAAAACTCATCAGTAGTCTCATCTATAGGTCATGGCCAGCGTTTATAAACCTCCCACTAGTGGGCACAGTAGTAGTACCAGTGTTTAACAACTCCCATTGGCAAGCGTCAGTAATAACCAATGTTTAACCCCATTGGCAAGGTTACAGAAGTACCAATGTTTAATAAACTCCCACTGGCAGGCGTCAGTAATTACCAATGTATTATCCCATTGGCAGGACTGCAGAATGGACCGATCATATCAGTAAACATGTCGACATGTGCTAGTGTTATAAACCTCCCACTAGCGGGCACAGTAATACATGACCATATCAGAGACAAAACCATGCAGGAGTTCCAAAAAAATCCGTAATTCACAATCAATCTCAAATTTCAGAATAAACCAAAAAATTTCCATGTGAGCATGGATTTAACAGAAAACTCAGAACTTACAAAATTCTCAGTTCATCAAAGCAGTTTAGTAAATTCCAAATAGGCATGCTCTACTCCAGAAAAACAATGAAATTCTCATTTTCATTCCAATCATGCTCAATTCCAGAAAATCATAATTTTCATAAAAATCATCACAATTTTCATTTCAATTTAATCACACTCAGATGCTGATAAAATCAATTTAAAACCAATTTAAACCTTGCCACCATCTCAAAAACAATTTAAAACATGCTTTGAAATCGAAGGGCTTTACCATAATTTACTTACCTCACTCGCACAAAACAAAAGGCTTAACCCAAGTGCTATGGTGACAGAATGATCAAAACCTAATCAAAATATCCAAGAGTTAATACCACACTACCACAAATTCACAGTGGAATCATCTTTAGCACTACCCCTAATAATCACGGTGCTATTTCTATCAATCTCCACATGACCGGACATCTCCAAATTTGTTCTTATATTACAAACTAAACATTTAAAATTCCCGTTAATTGTTGACCCTCGGTGTGTGAACAGTGCCCATGAACAGTACTTATACTTCCAAAATTGGCAAAACAACAACTAATCTCACGGTATTTTCTCCAAAATCTCACAACAATCATAATAAGCTAATTTTCTACATTAAGCAAGCTTAAAACCATTGTTTTAAGGCTGCCAAAACTCCCCTATTTCAACAGCAATTTCCAACAGGCAAAATGGAGGAACCGAGCTTGGCAAGGCAATAGCTAATTCATGGGATTTTCTCTAGACATCACAACAGCCTAATTGACAAATTCCTACATAAACCAAGCACAAAAATACATCTAAAATGCTGCCAAATGCTACTGGAATTTCCTCCCCCATTTTAGCAAAATTCGTAAGCACAGGGCAGCACTTAATGGACAAAACCCAGCAATTAAATGGGTAATTTTAGGCTTAGAGGAGCTATCACATACCATAATTTCCAGCTAAAACCGGAGATGGTAGGGAGAAGAAGCCGGCGGCATCTGCAGGGAACTCACAGAAATCTACCCAAAAATTGAAGGAAATAAACAATTAAAGTAAACCCAGCCTAAATCAAGGTTAAAGAGATCATTTCTTGGTTGAATCTTACCAAAAACCAGAGCAATTCTGTAATTGCACTAAACCAGAAGTCCTTCTTCGGTCCGCGCTTGCACTTTGGGAAAACCTGCAAAGCCCCGAGGTGGAACTCGGGGTAGACACTCCGATGCTTAAGTCAGCAATAATCGGGGCTACCTTTAGAGCGGAGATAAAAAGAGCTTAGGGTTGGTTTCAATTACCTTTTTGACGTGGCCCGGGGGGGTATTTATAGGATCCAATGAGGAACCCACGTGTCATGCCAAGCAAGATAATTGGAGCTTGACGTGTCCATCCAGACGATTATTCTGGGACCGGGAATTTGAGAGGTATTCAGATGCACGAGCGTCCACCAAACTTGCTGTGCCACGCATCATAAGGAATCAGATGCGGGCATGCTTATTGTCATTGTCATGCAGCTAATTGAGCGGGAAGCTTTGGATTTATTCCTCACTTCAATCATAAAGGAATTACTGTAGTAGTCCGAGGCTTGGCACCTCGGACCTGTCCTTACACTATTCCCCCCCCCGAAGTCATTCACTTGTGAATGATATTGCTGGGGATAATGAGGGGAGTGCATGAACAAAGAAATTACGGATAAGTCATGGAAGTATAAGGAAGAAAGCTGTAATTTAAATTTAGACATAGCCGTAGCTAATAATGAAATACATAACAGTCGGTCATACTGGGGTGCCTTAAATGGAATATGACCAGAGCGATCACGGCTGTGGTCGTGGTGAAAATAATGACCGGAGTCATAATGTAAAAAATGAAGACCAAAGTTATAATGGAGCCAAGGTCATAATAAAAAATGATAACTGGAGTTATAAAGGCCAAGGCCGTGATGGAAAATGATGACCAGAGTCATAATGGCCGGAGCCGTAACAAAATATGATGACCGGAGTCATAAGGGCCAGAGCCGAGGTAGAGTATGTGACATGTGGTCGTAGTAACCAGGACCGAAGTAGAACATGTCTCTGTGGCCGGAGCCAAAGTAAAACACTTTGCCCGTCAAAAAGTGTAATTGTAAAAGTAAGTAGAAGTGCTGAGCTGGGCTTAAAATATGATGACCGGAGTCATAATGGCCGGAGCTGTAATAAAATATAATGACCATAGTCATAATGGCCGTAGCCGAAATAAAATGTGTGATATTGGGTCACTATGACCGAAGCCGATGTGAAATATAATGCATGATTATTGTGGTCGAAGTCGAGGTGAAACACTTACAAAATTGAGAATGTATAAAAGTGAACAAAGGTATTGAAATGGGCGTAAATGGGCTCGTGTAAAAATACTGACATGGGTGTGACAGTTGTCCTTGGAATGACGTGTGCAGTAAATGTTGCCGTAAAAAGATAACTGCAACAGTTAAACGGTCAAAAATTAATTAAAAAAAAAACGAACCGTCAAATTCAAAACGGTACCGTTTGGGGTTGACCGTCGAATTCTGAACGGTGCGAATAGGAACCGTAAGATTAAATGAATCTCAGCCGTTGAGATTTAATTTTGCCCAGAAGTATAAATAAACATTTTTTCTACAAAGGGAGGTTTACTTGCATTCCTTTCTCTGCAAAACATCTGCAAAAAGCTTTATTGTGCGTTTCCTGTGTGTAAACTACGGTAACAACTGGGGATCTCTACATCAAATCTTTCGAAACCGAAATCAGGTAATGTATACGAATTTTTGATTTTAAGTTAATCGAAGTGTCTCTCTCCTTTCTCCCTTCCTGTGATTGATTTAGAGTCCTTTGAAGGAAGTTAGGGTTAGAGGCGAGAAGGATTTTGAATGTGCAACAAAGGGGTTTTTTTTTTTTTTTATGTGGGATCCTGATTTATTCCTCCCCACTACTTCGTGCAGAGTTTGAGAAAATGTCCTCAGAAGGAACAGAAAGTGTAGTTGGGAGTGAGGTGATGCCCCTGGACTATGGGAACATGGACGCAGAGAGTAGTCTATCTCCATCTAGTTCGGAGAAAATAGTAGAGGGGGTGAGAGGAGATGAGGTGGTGGAGGTTGGGGAGAGAGAGGTGGTAGAGGTGGGGAGGAATGAGGTGGTAGGGGTTAGGGTAGATAGCATACCCATCACCGTAGTAGAAGTAGAGGGTAGAGGAGAGAGGAATTATGATGTGAATGCAGAGATAGTGGAGGAGGTGAAGCAGTACAGATCTGAGCTAAGGACCAGGGATAGCCTGGGTCACTTAGTAGAAAATTACGAGATCTCATCTCGAGTGTTAGTTAGGCCAGCTGGGGTAGAGGAGAGGGCGTGCTCTGCTCCTCGGGATCACTGGTTGCCTGTGTATTCCCACTATTTGATAGCGGGACTCAGGTTTCCACTTCCTGAGTTGCTAGTGGGTTTATTGTTAGATTACAACATAGGGTTGACACAGTTGGTCCCCAACGCAATGAGGGTAATAATAGGATTTTTAGTCTATTGCCAAGCTCAGGGGATTAGCATGCCAACTGTAAATATGTTTAAGTATTTTTTTGGTTTTAAAGGGGGGTAGTAAGAGAGATAAGGGGTGGTATTATTTCACCCCAAGGGTAGCTAGTAAGGAGAGTAGGTCATTGTTTACGGCAGGTCCTTCATCCATTAAAGGATGGAAGGAGAAATTCTTTTTCGTAGATGATACGGAGTGGGGAAAAGGGGATGCTGAGGTGAGGGAGTTAGCCTCTTGGAAGGCCAAAAGGGCCAACCAGAATAGGTTTAGCTTAAATGAGGATGAAGAGGAGGAAGTGGGGAGGTTGGTGAGGAGGGGGGGATTTATTAAACATTTTGGACCTCACCAGCGCACAATGCATAGAAGCTGCCGAGCTCTATGGGCCAAGCGCTTTGAGTGAAGGTTGGTTTAGTTCTGCATTGTAGTGCTGAATGTAGAGTAATGTAGAGTATAGAACTGTGATTGATATTGTGTATTCTTGCTTTGCAGCTGAAATGGACCAGTTCTTGAACACTGTTGGAGGAGCGGCCATCCCCAAGAAGCCAAGGAAGAAGTCAAAGACTTCAACCAAACAAGTGGATGAGGGGAGGACCAGGAAAGAGGCAATGCTTGCGGCTTCAACTGAGACGGAGGAGGAGGTGCCACAGCTGAAGAGGAAAGGCTGGGAGGAGAGAAGGGCACTGCAGAAGAAGCAGAGGGTGGTGGAGGAAGAGACGGGGAATGAGGTCCCTGTGTTCGTACCTCAGCCTTCTCCTGTTGAGCTGGACCCTGAGCTCAGACAGTTGGAGGAGGGGGCTAAGGTACGAGCTCCTGGTAAGGGAAAGGGCCTTATTCCCCCACTAGGGCCTCAGAGCAGCCTGTTCGAGGCAAAGAACATAACGGGGGCTAGGTGGTTCATCAACAACACCTTCCCCGAGGTGGACCAAAGCAACGCGCGGGAGGAAGCTCTGAGGTATAGTGGGGCATCTGTTGTGAAGCACGATCTAGAGGTATGTTAAAGTATTAATGTTGTTTAGTTAATTTGTGTCGCCTTCTCTTCGTTCTTTTTAAACTTCAGTTTTGATCTGCAGAGCGCGAGCTGGGTGAATGGTCTAGCCCAGGAATTTAGGGAGAGCCTGAAAGATCGCACACTCTTGCAGAGGCAGCGGGACCAACTGCAGAAGGAGAAGGAGGAGTTGGAGAAGAAAAATAAGGAGCTGCAAGAGTCTCTGAACGAGGTGGTTCCAACCGTCTCACAGTTGGAGCAGGAGAGGGCATCCCTGAGCACCAAGCTCACTTTTGAGGAGAGCAAACGGAGGATCGCTGAAAGCGAGCGTGAGGCTCAGGCGCAAGAAATGAAGCTGATGACGGAGGCATTCAAGGAGCTGAAGGGGAACATGCGGAAGGGGAACATGCGGAAGTTGGTGCATAATGGGATGAAGGAGCACATCAGCAACTTCATCAGTTCTAGCTCCTTTGATAGCATCGTCAACTTGTACTGGCTGCCCACTGCCATCATCGCTTTCACAGACTGCAGAAAGAAGGTGAAGGCTGAATATCCCGAAGTGGATGTGACAAAGATCACCTTCAGCGAGCAAGAAGGAGGAGTGGAGGAGGATGGCGAGAGCATGTCAGCAGAATTCCGTCCTCAGATTAAGCTGTGGTGGGAGGATGATGCAGACGGTCTTGCTGTTTTTCCTCCACAGTTCGACTTCGAGTTCGTTGCAGTGGAGGAAGGAGGGGCAGAAGTAGAGGAGGACGAGATGGAGGCAGGAGTGGAGGGAACTGAAGTGGGTGAGGTCCAACTAGTTCCAGAAGTGGAGATTCATCCAGTTCCTTCTGACGATGAGCAGCCTCCTCTGCCGGACGAGCAGCAGCCAACTCAGCCACCTCCTTCAGCTAAGCAGGAGCCAGTGGAGCCACCTCTCCCATCAAGGAAATAATTTTGTTTTTTGATTTTTTGTAAAGACAGTAAAACAGTTTGTAATATTTATGTTATTCTGAATGAAAATTCATTTTTGAAATTATGTGTTTATTTATGTTTGGCTGCTTATTATTATATATTGATAGAAGAACTGTGACTACTTTAAAAAAGAAAGTTAATAAAAAGAAGTTAATCACTTCAGAAACGAACTACAGAGAAAGAAACCTCTTCAAGTGAGTTAAGAACAAGTACATCACTGTAAATGAATAAAGGGGAAATAAAGCACTTCATATGTGAAGTGACATTTATTAATCAGAGGTGAGGTTCAAGAAATGAAAGAACTAATTGACCTCGGGTACATAGAATAAGAAGTAAAATGAATCTCAACAAACACGAAGTGAGAAGTGTAAAGAACAGTAAGACCTAGAACAGTAAGACCTAGAACACTTGAAAGAATTTTATTAGGGGTAAAATTTCTTCAAGTTATTGACATTCCAGACTCTAGGAACTCTCTTTCCTTCAGCGTCTTCGAGAATATAGGCACCAGGATGTGGCACTTCGGCCACAGCATAAGGGCCTTCCCAATTTGGGGCAAGTTTGCCGAAACGAGTTTCAAACCCCGTTAGGCCAGCTTTTCTGAGAACAAGGTCTCCTACTTTGAAAGTTCGAGGGCGGACCTGTTTATTGTAGAAGTTGGCTAGCTTCTGCTTGTATACAAGAGTTCGAAGCCGAGCTTCTTCTCTGACTTCGGCAAGCAGATCAAGGTTTTCCCGAAGCAGTTGTCCATTTCGCCCTTCATCGAAATGGGTGACCCGGAAGCTTGGGACTCCTATTTCAACAGGAATGACTGCTTCGGTACCAAAGGCCAAGTGGTAGGGTGTTTCACCTATTTCAGTTGATTATAACTTTAGAATGCGCTTTATGCATTATGCATATTTGCTCTAAGGTAAAGCATAACAGAAAAAGTAAAATAATATAGAAATTATTCAAATAAACTCTGTTTAAAGTAGTACCTGTGGCAGTTCGGCTTGTGGTTCTGTATGCCCAGAGGACGTTGTTGAGCTCGTCTACCCACTTAGCCTTATGCTGTTCCAATCTCGGCTTTATACCTTCTAAAATGCATTTGTTAACAGATTCAACCATGCCATTGGACTCCGGATGGTAAACAGAGGTGAACTGTAACTTAATCCCATAACTGGAACAGAAATCTCGGAATGAGGAGCAATTGAATTGAGTTCCATTATCAGCCACAATCTGATTCGGGATCCCATATCTGCAGATGATCGAGCTGAAAACAAAATCTTCGACCTTCTTAGAGGTAAGACTAGATAAAGGCCAAGCTTCAACCCATTTTGTAAAATAATCCACACCAACAACGAAATGGGTTACACCACCAACCCCTTTCACGAATGGGCCTAAAAGATCCAATCCCCACTGAGCAAATGGCCACGGTGCTACCATGTTCATGAGTTCTTCTGCCGGTTGGTGAGTCAGATGTCTGAAGAATTGACATTTTGGGCATTTCTGAACAAAGTAAGTGGCATCTTTATACATGTTTGGCCAGTAATATCCTTGCCTTAAGACTTTGTGAGCCAAAGTCCTAGCACCGACATGGCTCCCACAGACACCTTCATGCACCTCTCGAAGTGCATATTCAGCTTCATAGGGGTTTAAACACCGTAGAAGAGGAAGTGAGAAAGATCTCTTATACAGGACCCCATCAACGAGGGTATACCGAGATGCTTTCTTTCTCAACTTCATTGCCTCCTGCCTATCTTCAGGTACTATCCCATCTCGCAAAAAGGAGACGATTGAATCAGTCCAGCTCGGCGTGTCTGGGTTTGTGCTAATCTCCATCACCCGAGGCTTCATGAAGCTTGGTTCGTCTAAGATCTCTACAAAAATGGATTTGGAACTTAAAGAGCTATCAGAGGCAAACTTGGAGAGTGAATCTGCTTGTTCATTCTCAGCTCGGGGGATTTTGCTCAAACAGAATTTCTGGAATTTGCACTTCAGCTAGGCCACCAAGGCTACATACTTCACCATCACAGGATCAACAACTTCACAGATAGAGTTGATTTGGTTTACTACCAGCTGGGAATCACTGTATACTTGAATTGCATTGATTTTCAGCTCCAATGCTAGTTGCAAACCAAGTAGTAGAGCTTCATACTCAGCCATGTTATTTGTCCCATCAAAGTTAAACTTCAGGGCATGTTCACTTCAGTATCCCTCTGGACCAATCAAGAGAGCGCCAGCCCCTGAACCCTTGCTACTAGATGCTCCATCAACATATAAGGTCCAATCGTTGGGCTCTGGATTAGAGGTTGAAGGACATGGAGTACATTCGACAATGAAATCTGCTAATGCTTAGGCTCGAATGGCCAATCTCTGCTGAAACGTTATCTCAAACTCTCCCAGTTCTACTGCCCACTTAATTAATCTTCCGGAACATTCTGGTTTTTGCAGAATCTACCGGAGAGGTTGATCTGTGAGAACGATGATTGGGTGTGACTGGAAATATGGCCTCAATTTCCTTGCCGAAGTGACAACTGCTAGTGCTGCTTTCTCCGCTATAGGATACCTCAGCTCTGCCCCATGCAGTACACTGCTAATATAATAGATTGGTTTTTGCTGCTTGGCTTCTTCTCTCACCAGAACTGAACTAATCGCTTCATCTGAAATCCCCAGATACACATAAAGAATCTCCCCATCGATGGCCTTAGTCAATAGAGGTGGCGAGCTAAGATAAGACTTCAGCTCATCGAATGCAGTTTGGCACTCCTGACTCCATTCAAATTTCTTTTGTTTTCCGGATTCATCCTTCTGGGCGGCCGACCTCATAATCTTGAAGAATGGCAGACACTTATCTGCTGACTTCGATATGAATCGATGAAGAGCTGCCACTCCTCCAGTCAACCTCTGTATATCTGTTATTCATTTCGGCGGCTCCATGTTGGCAATTGCTCTGATTTTCTCTGGATTGACCTCAATCCCTCTTCGGGACACCATGAAACCCAAAAACTTTCCAGACTCCACGCCGAAAATACATTTGGCTGGATTCAACCGCATTTTGTTCTTTCTGAGGTTGTTGAAGGTTTCATCGAGATCGGCTAGATGGTCTTCTGCTTTCCAGCTCTTTACTACGATGTCATCGACAAACACCTCCAGATTCTTGCCGATTTGAGCTAGGAAGACGATGGTCACCATTTTCTGATAAGTAGCACCAGCGTTCTTTAAGCCAAATGGCATCATGACATAGCAATAAATTTCATCGCCAGCATAGAACGAGGTTTTCTCTTCATCTTCGGGAGCCATTGGCACCTGGTGATACCCAGAATATGCATCCAAGAGGCTTAACCTCTCATTGCCTGAAGCTGCTTCAACTAATTTGTTAATGCTCGGCATCAGATAGCAATCCTTGGGGCAGGCGTGGTTAAGATTTGTATAATCAATGCACATTCGCCATTTACCATTTACCTTCTTCACCAGGACTGGGTTAGCCACCCATTCACAGTAATCAACTTTCCTGACAAAACCAGCCTGTAGGAGCTTCTCCACCTTTTCTTTAATAGCCTGAAGCCTCTCACCCCCAAAGAGACGCCGCTTCTGGGCCACTGGTTTCTTCAATGGGTTGGTACTGAGCTTATGTTGACATACTGAATTTGGAATTCCTGGCATATCTACCGAAGTCCATGCGAATACATCATTATTGGCTCGGAGAAAAGCTATTAACTCTGCCTTTTCCTCTGGGTTCAATCTAGTTCCAATCTGTATCTTTCGGCTCGGATCTCTGTCATCAACGAGCACTTCTTCAACATCTTCGACTGGAGCAGCTCTAGCTTCATCGTCCGGTCGATTATTGACGATCTCTACACCCATAACTTGCTGATTATCAGGAATTCACTAGGGAATGGCCTCGGGTGTCTGATCTTTGCCCTTCGTTGGTTGTGTTACTGAGGTGATATAACAATGTCTCGCCACCTCTTGGTTTCCTCGCAGTGTTGCTATTCCCATAAGAGTTGGGAACTTCATGCAGAGGTGAGATTGGGAAACCACAGCTCGGATTTCAATCAATGTAGGTCGGCCAATGACAATGTTGAAAGAGGACGCCATCTTGACGATAAGGAACCGGACTGAAGGGCTTACATAAGTCCGGCCACTCCCAAAAGCCACATGGAGGGTAAGAACTCCTTCTACCGGAACAGGTTGGTTGTTGAAACCATAGATAGGACCATCATATTTCTGCAACAATGCTGGATCTAGTCCCAGACTCTCGAAACAGTGGAAGTACATGATGTCTGGTGCACTCCCAGTGTCAACAAGGACACGCTGTACTTCACAGTTATTGATCATGACAATAGTGACCAGAGGATCATTGTGGGGTGTAACAACTGTGTCGAGGTCAGCAGATGTGAAAGTAATGGGTTGATTCTTCCACTCAGCATCGTCAATCTTCCGCTTCTGAGCTCGGTTTTGATGTTTAACCTCTCTAACATACAGCTTTCGCTGCTTAGAGCTCAGTCCACCTGCTTCAAGGCCTCCCGTAATCATATGTATGATTCTAGCTGGTGGTGGGAGCGGAGGTGGGGCTTGCTGATATCCCACACCTTGCCTATTTGGGGGATTGCGGACTCCTTGAGGCTGTGGCCTCTGTTCTCTGACAAACCTCGGCTGTTCAGCTCTCTAAACATACTCATTCAGCATTCCCTTCTGAGCTAAACTTTCTAGTTCGGACTTTAAACTATTACACTGCTCTGTAGTATGGTCGTGATCCTGGTGAAAATCACAATATCTGGTATGGTCTCGACTAGCAACAGCAGTTCGCATTGGGCCAGGACGTCTCAAGTCCATTTTGTTCTTAATATGCATAAAAATTTGTGACCTTGGCAGATTAAAGGGAGTCCAATTAACTGGAGGTTTACCTGCAGATTGTTGCGGGGGTGTGGAGTTCGGCCTTTCGAATCTCGGTGGGGAGGTCAACACTAGACCTCGGTTCTGCGCCATCCTCATCCTTTTCCGGCTCGGATTGTCATCTTTCCACTTTGGGTTCTGGTTCTTAGTGGGAGTCGGATTCTGCGCCAGGGCATACTCCTCAGCGGTTATAAACTTCAGAGACCTATCGTTCACCTCACTGAAGGTGGTGGCAGCATGTTTAATCAAATTGTCTCTGAACCTATCATGCTTAAGACCGGAGATCACAACTGCAATCCCCATAGCTTGATCAAAGGAACTAACCTCCAATACCGCATCATTGAACCTGCTCATATAGTTCTTGAGAGATTCTCCATCCCTTTGTTTATGTCACGCCCCAAACCGAGAGCGAAACAGACGCCGTGCACTCGTGAGCGGGGCCCACAAATGCACAAGGCTCGAGACCTATTGAGTTCTTACTTAGCAATTCAGGTAATTCAAATCTAAGCCTTTTTACTTTACCAAATAGTTACCAGTGAATGTACAAAATTGTCACTTTATATATACAATCATGACTAACACTAA